AGAGTCGTGGAATCCAAATTAATGGAGTTTTCAGTGTATTGGGACAAACAAAAATGTGTCAAATTACTTACATTTTTATGTAATGATATTTAAATAATATGTTCATTAGCATTTTAATAAGGCCTAGAAATTAGACAGCCAGAAGAAGGTTTGGCATTAGAGATGTCTCCAGTTAAGTTTCATCATGTTGTTTTTTCACTTCATTTTCTTTCTAATTATTTTACAGTTTCCTATAGCCTTTTCAAGATGGCTAAATTTAACATTGCTATAACACTTTAAGCAGTCTCTTCCTCTAAACGTGGTTTGGCAATTATTTCTGAGGGAAATTATTAAAAATGCAGCCCTTAATCAGGGGGAGAACAGAATGCCACAGAGAGCTGTGCTGAGAGATGGTTTCTCTAATAAGATTCACATAATTGTGTAAGAGCAATCGAGCTTCTGAAGATTGCATTAAGACGGTGGAATTTGTAATTTCTGAAGATGTAGGAAGTGATTCATAGAGTGAGTGTGATGCTGAAACCTAAACAGGATCATATTCTGTGCCTTAAAATTTGACCAGGGCACTACTTACTTTTTGAAAAGGGCCATTCATTTAAAAGCAAGTTAGCCTCCTTCTTCAATAATCCAAATTAGTTTAACACACTTCAGTGACATTATTTGGGCATTTTTCACAATTATTAAAGATAACTCACTTTTCTCTCTAGGCTGTAGGGTCAAAAGAAAATTAAATCAATGGATTTTCTTCCTTCACTTTCTCATATGAGTCAGAAGTTATTGGTCAAATGTGCACATGACCTTTCTGCTTCAGCTTGAAAACCCAAACAACCTGTTGGGAAGACATTTGGCCAATCTGATTATTTTCTCTGTACTAATTGATTTTACTTCTTCATTGAATTGAATGAATTGTCTGGTTGTTTTGTCACTGTGAGGACAGAGCTTAATCCACTTAGAGTGAGTGCTTGTGCTTGGTAAACTATGGGGCTAAAGAAATGTATATCCTTATTATTAATTTCTGGTAAAATTTTTCATGGGTGAGAATGAAAACTCATCTTGAAGCTATCTATTTTCTCCGTTGCCCTGGTCAAGCCTTGTCACCTGGCCCCTAAGACCACCCTTGCAACTGGTTTTCCCACCTCTGCTCCCCTCTTCCTCCAACTTAGTCTCCACATAGTAGCAACATGCATCTCTGAAAAAGCCCCTTACAGCAAACATTGGCCTCTTCACAATTAATGTGGAATAAAATGTAAACTTCTTACCACAGCCACTTTTACCCACTACAGTCTGAGTCCTTGCTGACTTTCCTACCTTCATTGTGCCTCTGCACCTCACTCCCACCCTCCTCCCATGCTCGCCTCTCACAGGTCCCGCAACCCCCCAAGCTCCTGTCCTCCTCAGTGTCTTCGTGTTTGTCCTTCCTTTGTCTGGAACATCCTTTGTGGACTGGTTCTTTCTCATCCTGAAGGTCTCATATCTGATGTTGCCTTTCCAGAGAGACCTTCAACTATATAAAAGTTACCCCCTATTACTCTCCAAAATAATACCCTCTCTTATCCTCACTTTTTGCAATACCCGCATCTACCATGATTGTATTACTCCCTGCCCCCCACTTCTAAGTAGCAATCAGAGCTGGGATCCCCAGCCCACCCCACTTTGCAGAGTGTGGTACCGTCCCTCCCTCCACAGAAGATCAGGTGTTCTGTCTCTGGAGAGCACACAGCGTGGTGGGGACACCCAGACAAGTCACTCAGCAGGGGAGCAAGTGAGGGGGCTACGTTGAAAAGAGGGTTTAACCAAATGCTGCATATTGAGCCCCCAAATCTCTTCCCAAGTTCCACTCTAGCATGCTGGCAGCCTGGCTGTGCTTTCCAGGCAGGAAGTGAGGACTGTTCTTGTAGCAGCTGAGCAGTGCATGGTGGAAGTCCTAGAGATCATCACTGCAGGGTTCCCACTTAAACAGGGCAAACCAATGACCCTGCAGTGAAGCCCATAGTTGACAGACTGTACTTGCAAACAGCACTCAATCAGCTTTTAAGTGCCTATGTCCTAAACAGATATTTAAGATTGCTGCATATCTTAGGAAAGCCTCTAACATAGAGCGAGATAAAAACAAACAAACTTGGAAGGGGGACTATGGAGGGAGAGGCAGATTTCGACAACAACAACGACAAATTATTATTAATATTGCCAGAGATAAAAGAGAAAATGTTGGAGCCATGAAATAAGATCAGGGTGCTATCAAAAAGGAACATAGGAAAGGGCTCTTAGGAATTAAAAACATGGTAACATAAATGAAAATTCATGATCTGGAATATAAAGTTGAGGGAATTCCTCCAGAAGTGAAAAAAGAAGACAAAGAAATAGAAAATAGGAGATAAAAGATAAAAAAAAAAAAAAAAGAGAGAGAGAGAAGATTATACCATGAGGTCCAGTAAGATATGAAAAAAAGAAGATCATACCAGGAGGTCCAAAAACCTAATAAGAACAGTTCTAGAAAGAGAAAAAAGACAAAACAGAAGGGGGAAAAAATTGAAAAATAACATAATTTCAAAGGATCTATTGTACATCATGATGACTATAATTAATATTAATAACAATGTATTATTAAATATATTCTTGAAAATTGCTGAAAGTAGATTTTAAGTATTCTTACTGCACACACAAAAAAGATAAGTATGTAAGGTAGTGCATACATTAATTAGCTTAATTTAGCAATTCCACAATGTCTTCATATTTTAAAACAATGTATTGTATGTGAAGAAAAAAAAAAAGAAAAACAGAACCATGCTTTTCTAAAACTGAAGGCCATGATTCAGAGCTAAAGGATCCATTAAATGCCCAGATATTGAATGAAAATAGACCCAGGACTGTGGTAATACTGAAAATAAAGAAAAGCCTTGGAGCTTCCTGGGAGGAAAAAACAAAAAAAGAATTCATACAAAGAATCATGAATCATAAATCATATTGTCTACAGACTTCTCAACAGCTAGAACTCAGAAGAGCAACATCTTTAATTCTGAAGGGAAATGATTTCCAATTTAGAATGTTGTACCCAGACAAGCTGCCAAATCCATTTAAACAATTTTGCTTCACACCCTTTCTCATGAGGCTACCAGAAGTTTTGTGTTGGGAAAGCAAGAGAAGAATCCAAGAGACAAAGAAGTAATCCAAGGAAAAAGAAGTTGTGGAGGCCTAAGAGTGAAGAAAGAGGTGCTTTTATTAGGTTACTGGACTTCATGATATAATCTTCTCTCCCTCTCTTTTTTTAATCTTTTATCTCCTATTTTCTGTTTCTATGTCTTCCTTTTTAACTTTTGGAGGAATCCCCTCAACTTTATATTCCAGATCATGAACTTTTATTTATGCTATTTATTCCCTCCCACAGTGGTGGGGAAGAGAGACCCAGGAGCACAGCCTGGAGAGCATTTGGAGCAAGTCAGAAAGTTTCAAGAGAGATATTTCTAGGGAAATGAAATGAAACCTTGGAGAGGTTTCATTTGGATGATTGGAGAAGAGGTTGGGAAAGGATTTTAGTAATCAGTCCATAAAAAACTAAGCAAAACGTTTTAAAAAACAAAATAATTATTAACTCTAGGGAAAACAATTTTGGCAAGAAAGGTAACATGATCATAGTATACTACATGGCTCAGTGGTGAAAGGCATGTTCTTATAATAATGTAAACGTGGAATTTTCCTCTAATCAAAGTAGGACATCAATGAGTTCTGTAGCTGTTGAGAGGATAGAGGGCTGAGAAGTGTGTTTATGTGTAGGGTCGTGAAGATTGTGAGAGGAAGGGTTGATAGAAGAGAAGATAAATCTCCCCCACCCCACCCCCCAAGAAGGCATAGGTTATACTCCAAACTAAAACAAAAAAAATCAAGAAATAGTGCCATAGGCATGTTACTAGAAGTGAAGGAGATAAATCTGAAAAGAATCCAAGATGGGGAAGAAATGGGTGGGTTGGCAGGAGTTGCTGTTTTTCTTAATAAGTAAAAAGGTTTGACTTTTTCAAACTCTGTGCATGTTTAACTGCAATCCAAGTAAAAGCACATTTGAAAGTGGGTCCAGTGTGTCTTCTCAGTCCTTCTAGAATGTGTTTCTGATCTCATACCATGATGAAATCTACCTTCTCTGGAATTCGTGTCCTTCTGACATGTGTGCCAGGTCACCACGTGGAAACAGAGGAGAGAGTCAGCGTGAGGGGCCTGGGGAAGGCAGTCGCCAGAGAGGCTGTTTTGTGGGTATGTTGCCAAGGCCCTCCGTCCCCACAGCCACAACAGCCACCAACACAGCACGACGACAGCACCACACAAGCCGGCCTCTTCCCCTGCTGCTCGGCGCACTAACGGGGGTGGAGACATGAGTATCTCTCCGGTTTCCGTGACACGTGGAGTGAAACTTCTACTCTGGCCACCTGGTAGTATGGCCAGAGAACTCATGTTTAATCTAAAATTAACCTAAACTTTGCATGTACTACTAGTCCTCTAGAAATAAGTATGTTTAAAGTAAAGCAACTTGAAACCCTACACAGGGCTTGTTTTCTGAAGAAGTATTGTTTGGAGGAGCAAAATCATAAGCCCTACCCATATGTGTTGTAAAACTGTTTTGAAAAGTGAGGCTTGTGAATAGAAATGTAGTGCCCGAGTCACAATCCACTTGAAACTTATAACAAATACAGGTAAGTTAAAAAGTTAAAAAAATTAAATTAAATCAACCTAAACAAACATGACCAAGAAGATGACTCTGATGGAAAACAAAAGCCACATGAACTATATATATATATATATATATATATGTATGTCAACAGTGTATGTAATCTAGGGATTTTTCTACTTTGACCAGGTGTGAATCACTGGGAGATAGGTTGAGTCCTTGCACACACCGTGTGGGATGTGGGTTAGTGAGCTCAGAGGTGGTCATGAAGACATGAACAACCTCCTGGGAAATTGTTCTGCTAATCTTAACAATTCCAGATGCGTACAGATGTGCCTCCCCCCTACAGGTCCAAATCCGCAGGAGGGGCCATCTTGTGCCACCTTGGAACCGTCTCTTTGTGGGGGCAACAAAGAGGAGAAGGAAGATGACTGTGGACGAATTTCAGGACCCTTCTCTCCCAGGGCGAGTTCAAGGACTGTTGGGCACGTCGAGAAATTGGCTGTGAAGGTGGGAATTGCGATTTCGACCTGTCTCTACCTATTCGTTGCCTAGATTTATAGCTCACCTTTTTCTTGTTGTTGTTTAGTGGGGCAAAATTTGCTCGGATTACCCATGAAGATTACACAAAAAGCCCATGAAGCATATAAATACCTGCACACAATCTGCACTGAAGGAACAGGCAACTGTGGTTGTGAAACCACTGGCATTATTTCTGATGGTTTAGTAAAAATCCTACGTATGTTATTAGTTCACACCTGAATAGCACAGAGTTGCTGCAACGTGAAACCACCCCGAGGCGGACTGTGGGACCTGGTGTTGAGACCACTAAAATACTAATCCAGACCACACTTTGAGAAATGCCAATCTGGAAAAAACTGCAATGCACGGTACTATAAAATAGGACATATGCTTCCTGAGCAGCAGTTACTTCAAACAGGAAGCTCAGAACTAGTTAGATAATTGAGCTGTTTTGTTTTTAACAAAGTCAGATAAAAAACACATAGAATCTCAGTAACTTATTTTGTATCAATAAGGAGCTTTATTCAAGTAAATGCACCAATTAGTTATTAATGGAAACTTATTGAGGTCATCCTATTGAAGGTCACGCTTGGTAAAGAATCATTAAGGCCTCAGACCTTGTTTCATTGAGGACCACGTTTCCGACCACATTTTTCTTTGTACCAATTAACCTTTTCCCCCTCATTTCTTTTCCTTTGCACTTTGTTGCAGGGTATTTCTCCATCTGCGGGCGAGCATGGTGGCTGTTCTCCCCACAACACTGCCACCGTGTCAGGGTCACCTCTGCCAGCCAACTCGGGCTTGGTGGTGGCTAGTGACAACACCCCATCCCATGGCAAAGGCCTTGAAGTTGGATTGCTGGAGACTCCACCACGGCCCCCCTACGATCAAGTCTCAACAGATCCTAAACCATGCATTTTCTCAGAGGCTCGAGAGCCTTCTTCCTTTGGGTCCAAAGGAAGTTTTCCCCACCATGACATTGCTACCTCTGCGATTGCCATTAGCACATCTCTGGGTGCCAGGGAAGGTCACACAGCCCTAGGAATTCACAGCTCAGACCACAGCTGGGCTGTAGAGGACACTCGGGCACAAAGCTTCCCAGACAACAAAGCTATGGCAGAGAGCACGTCACAGACACTCCTGCCGGGGAATCCTTCATCTGGACAAAGAATTTCAGGTGTGGTTCCACTGGGGCCAACTGGAAAGACTCGTCTTGAAATACCAGCTTCAGGACCAAGTTCAATGAGTTCACACCAAGAGGAAGGGAGACACAAGGCATTTCTTCCTTCCAGGGGCCAATCTGGATGTGGGGAAATAGCCATTCCCTGCTCCCCTTTAGGAAGTGATGGTGGGAAGTGTCAAGTATCTGGATTAATCGCTCTGAAGAGTTCTGTGGATCCTTCTCACCCAGGGCAGCCCCCAGAAATCCCTGAAGCCCCTTCTAAATCCATCAGGAAGAGGAGTTTGGAAGGAATGAGAAAGCAAACTCGAGTGGAGTTCAGTGACACCAGCAGTGACGACGAAGACCGATTGGTTATAGAAATATGAAGCTTCCGAGAAGGATGGTATCTGTGGTCAAAGACTGTTGATGCTTCACAAATAAATGTCATCAGGCTGGCAGAAGAACTAAACTCTGTTTATGAAATGCCTACAGATCAGGAAAACCGTTATGAGTTCCTTCCAAGCCAACTCCAACCAACTCCAAAGCCCCACCAGCCACACCCTTCCCAGCTCCCCTTGGGCACATACCACTCATGGTCTCCTGCGTCTAGCCAGGCAGAAGTGGCAATGAACCAAAGTCTAAGAATGCTCAGCGTGGGCAGTGACGAGGCCTTGACACCCAGTCTTAATCCTCTGTGTCAGTCCCTCACTGCCTCCCTCCAGTAAAATGGCAAGAACCAGAGAGCCACCATCGGCATGTTTACTCGTGGACCCCACAAAGTCAAGGCAACTGACTTTCCCCATTAGTAAGCTGAGGGTTTGCTTTGAGGGTGGCAACATTGCTTGGGATAATTGGGGTAGCTTGAAAAGGAGATGGGCTGAGAATTGGGCATCCAGATACTTGTGTTCATTTGGGAAACAAAATTCAGATACATTGAAAAACTGAAGTTTGGTTGGAGTAATTCTCCTCCATGGAGATTGTAAATATACTTTCTCCTCTGCCTATGATCTGGTGAAATGCTGATTATTTTTAAATGTTGCACAAATGGTCAATGCTCATTTATAGTCAGGTTACACAAGCACCTACTGTTCTTGTGCTTGGGGTCTTTTCTGTTGAGACCTTTGAGACCGTTGGTTTTTCTAGCTTATGCAAAGGTACATTGTGTTAAAAGTTAATAGAACAGTCTCTCAGTAATGAGTCATTTTTTGAGGGGGAAAAATTCACTTATTTTCCTCTGATTCTTTTTGTCATATTGTGCTCTGAGCAATTTCAATTAGAGGGTTACATTTTAGTAATCTGTACAGCTTAAATTGATGCCTGCTCATCGTGACGGGAGCCTTTTAGATTTCCTCCAGAAGCTTCAAGGATACAAAACTAATTGGAGTTTTGACGCTGTTTTACATCTCAGTAATTTTATTTTGGGGGCTTGGTGTTACTTTCCTGTCAAATTAAATCAGCCTCTGTATTGTGCAAGTCAGAACAGCACAGATAAAATTCTCCAGTATTCCAAGCCAGTGCGCCCCTGTGCAGAAGAAAATAGCAGATGTACGTCAGCCAACCCAGCGAGCAAAGCCTCGGATTCACTGCCTTCCTCTCCTTCTCCTTAAATGGGAGAGGACAAACTTAAAGAGGTTTACACTGCTGCATTTCAATAAAATTTTATACTTGCTTTTGGTATGATTTTGTACAACTTGAAATTTGTAGGCGAGCTCTTTCGGCTTAACTTTGACGTAATGACGTTCACATGACAACCTGTACTTCAAAGGCAAGGCAGCCAAGCAAGACAGCTCACACACATGAACACGCTTCAGAAAGTCCTTGCCTGTGACTAAGTATGGTCAAATATCGAGTATCTTCATGTGAATTTTCCCATTTTGGTGTTATTCATAGTAAACTTCAGCGTGAGACCACTCCCCCTGGTTCCGTAGTGTATGTCTGTGGTCATGTCATGTGCACTCATCGCTCTCCAAGTGATTTCAAGCCCAGCCAAGAAAAACATAGGAAGGGAAGTCAAACGGGTGTTAGACATTCACTCCGTGTACTTTCTAAACCAAACAAAAGTGATGTGGTGATTATCTATCTGGGCTTTCGAGTTACCCACGCCACTGTAACAAGAGCGGCAGTGCGGGAAGGTGGCCTACGGCTGGCTGGAGTGAGAGAGTGAAGTCCCGACTTGATCTTTAGCTGCGAAGTCTTGGTTGAGACCCTGTCTGCACCTCAGTTTCCCCAAATGAGAATGAGAGAGTTGGGCAAGATGAGTTCCAGTTCTGGTGAGAGGGAATGATGAAGAAGCTGCCCCCTCCTACACACGTGGAGTCGGTGGCTTGGAGAGGCTCCTCTCTGGAGACGTCCCGGGCCCCACGGGCAAGGAGTGTGGGTGGGATAATGAGGAGCTGAAACACAAGCAGCCAGTCCTTGCTATGAACAATACGAGCTCAGGGAAGCTCCATCTAAGTTTTTTCCTAGAGTTCCAGATTTGGGGGTACAATCATTCAGTTTATAACTGTTGGCTAATAATTCAAAGATTAAAAGCAAAAACAGAGCACTACTGCATGAGTGGAAAATAACATCTGTCAAGGCTTAATTGGTTCCTTTGTCTTGGGAGGTACTGGCCAAAGGGAAAAACCTTATTCCAGATCCTTGCTTTCTGGGTGGCTGCTCAGGTGTCAATGGGACCACTGGTCCTAAATCAGTAAGTCATAGTTCCAAGGAGCACCCACCTTGGGATCGTGATGGAGGCTGTGTCATTCTATGAGCCACCGTTGCTGGTTGCCATATCCCAACATAGGGCCAATATGGCGAAATGTTGCTTCTATCTCTTTAACTCATTGTGTCTCTTGCAAAGGTGAGCAGGTTGCCAACCTGACCTCCCTCAGCTGGTCATTTAGCTAGCAGGTGGCAGTGTTTACAAGTGCACCTTTATAGCAACATGAATTTGTGAAAAATTATACTGTGATGGATTTTTTTAAAATTGAAAATGTAATTTGCATGACTGTTAGAGAGCTGCCTATTGAAATGCAACCTAAAGTCAAGCTTTTTTTTTTTTTTAATGAAGAATCCTTTTATAAAGCAAGGAACAACCTCTGATCTCATAAATCTTAATTTTCCCATGGGTTTTCTTAAAGTGAAATGCAGTTATAGGAAAACATTTTAAGGATAGCATCAGCAACTAGAACTTAGTTTGGGTTATTGAAAATAAAATTTCAGTGTTATCAGTTGGTGATTGCTGCAGTTTTTTACTCTACGGGTACATACTGCATAATGGTTAAGGGAAAACAAATTTATTTTAGAACAAGGTAAACCAGAGTTTAAAGATCAGAGACATCCCTCTTTCCCCAGTGCTGTTAATTTTATCGTATCTTTAGGTAAGTGAACCAACTGGTACCTCAGCTTCTTCTAAGGAGAGCTCCAGCGATGCTGGCCTGGACTAAGGCAAAAGGCCACCTTGAATTCTCTGCCATTCTCCCAGGGCAAGGCAGACAAATGCCACGGCCCGTGATGCTCAAGGCTCACCTGCAAAATCCTCTCTCCAGGGGTACCTACTCCCAGCCAGATCTCGCTGCGGAAAAATGTATTGAGGGGGGGGAAGAGATTTTACCTCCCTCCTTGGCAGCCTATACTGTTAAATGATTCTTAAAGTCCGTGGTGTTTGGCGGATAGCCTGACTCCGCCTCGTGGTAAGGCTCAGTGATGGAGAAAGGCTCGTCCCTCTATTAGGTGTGACCTTTGGGATTCTAGACAAAGCTATTACCCCTTTGCTTCACACCTTACAGTAACCAGAAGAATATATAGTTCATTTGCCAAGAGATAAAAAAAAGGTGGAGGGGTATCTCTGAATTCTAATCACAACACTGCCAATAGCCCGAGGGGTGACCTAGGTCAAATTAGACTTTCCCTTCTGAAAAATCTCTCTTCTAAAGCTGAGATTGGGAGAGTAGCCTGGCAGATGTGCATTGTGACCACAGTCCCTGGCATGAAAGATAAAGGATTTGCAGTTTCATGCCAAGAAGTATTTCCTTGCATTTCCATTCATTACTTAGAATGATCACATTATTCATTTTTTTCCCCAGCATAGAAATTTGCATTTTGCACAAAATTTGCCTGGTGCAGCAGATTTTTATAGTTATGGAAACTGTCATCATTATCGGAATGTGCTGCTGCTCAACTCCCCAGACATAATTTAATATGGCGAGGAGAAAATGGCCTGGCTGGCTGGCTCTATGGGTGATCATATTTCTACGACTGCAGCAAACAGGGCCTGTGTGTTTTTCTTCACTTCAGTTGTTATTCCCATAGTTTGTGTGTGGAAGACTCTTTGGCTTTTGAAACACTACATTTCTCTATACTTAAGCACAATTTCTTGTCCTTATCTTTCAAGACTCGTTAAATACAGGTGTCAGGACCTAGAAAATCTTGTGTGCTAGATTTCTACCCTGTATGATTCTTCTCACCCATGCTTGGTACTTACGTGGTAATATACATAATTTGGTACAGGGAAGAAGTACAGGGGCATTTGAGCACATTACTTCGCTACTGGAAGAATAGGAGCCAGGGACAATCATCAGCCACACTGCCCCTTGGAGCCCTAGAGGCAGACTCAAAAATCTTATATATGCAGTCAACTGTTCAGGACTTAATGATTGTTCATAATCAGGGAAGCGATTGGCTTCTTGGTTGTTTGTTGAAATTTATTTCCTTCTTTATATACTTAAATTATTTGGTTTTGATAAAAATAAAACTAGATGAAAATGTCTTGTGTGACTTGTCAACATTTTAACCCAAACCACCACAAACAATATCCTGTATGAATTGAACATGGGATAATTTCCAACCAGTTGACTAGACTCGCTGTCCGCCATATTGGTATTCCTGTCTACTCAACAAAAGGATTAGAGAACAGCAGATTGTCACATTTTCTTGTGCTGTGTCCTTTCCCCACATGTCTTGTGTGTCATAATCTGCCATGTTTTATAGTTCAAAACTTAAGAATGTGTTTTTAAATTCTTAAATGTAGCTGAACTTTGAAGCCACAGGAGAACACCATCCACAGGGCAATATTCCAGAACTTTCTACCTGGGAATTGACATTTCTTGCATATTTAATATTCATTAACAGAGAAAACCTCCTTCAATCAAAATGACACCTCCTGGCCGGGCGCGGTGGCTCACGCCTGTAATCCTAGCACTGTGGGAGGCCGAGGCAGGTGGATTGCTTGAGGTCAGGAGTTCAAAACCAGCCTGAGCAAGAGCGAGACCCCGTCTCTACTATAAATAGAAAAAAATTAATTGGCCAACTAATATATATAGAAAAAATTAGCCAGGCATGGTGGTGCATGCCTGTAGTCCCAGCTACTCGGGAGGCTAAGGCAGGAGGATTGCTTGAGTCCAGGAGTTTGAGGTTGCTGTGAGCTAGGCTGATGCCACGGCACTCACTCTAGCCTGGGCAACAAAGCGAGACTCTGTCTCAAAAAAAAAAAAAAGAAAAAAGAAAAGAAAATGACACCTCCTTACGAAGCTTGCAAGAATAAGTAGACTTATTTTATAGCCCAACACAATATTATTCTTCTATGTACATACCTCTTGAAGACATTTGAAGCCAACAGGAACCCAATGCATTGGGAGAAAAAGCAGGAATAGAACACAGAAGGAACACATACACTAATTGATGGCTCTTAGTAGCTTATTTCCTATCAAACTCTGTAGTAATAAATTAATCCATTACTTTCAAACTTCAGTCATTTGAGAACCATTTTAATGCTTTTTGCTGTATGCATCAACATGCCACATGTGAGTATATTACTTACTTAATACTTTAAATCATCTCTATGTTAGAGAAGTGCTTATTGCCCTACGCAATATTATCTGTGAAATGTCAAGTTGAATTTTCTAGTTAAGTATATATTCTAATATGCATTAAAATACGGTAAGATTATTAAAAATTGTTCATCCATGTACCACTTAAATATCATCTTCTTACCACTGGTGGTAAACCCACTGCACTTGGGGAAACATTGAACTTAGCTAAAAGGTCATGTGTTGTTGGGTTCCCTAGTTGTTCTAGTCCCTGTTAAGCATAGCTCTGTCCGCATTTTTTCTCCAAGACACTAGAACTGGTGACCACAAGCTGAGCTGTAGGTTCATCAGATAAGTTACTTCAGTCCAACTTTATAGTTGAATAATTAGCGTTTCAGATCAAAAGATGATTGCATCCTCTATTCTCAAAGGAATAATCATATAATGTCTTGCGTAAACATGTGTTTTTGTTGGTTGGCTGACGAGTGTGAAATGATGTACAGGACAGCACAGTTAGGGATTCAGGCCAAAGCCCTAGCATTGCCGCCGGTTCTGCTGAGAGACCTGCTTCCACACTTCTAAGTGTGAAGCAAGTGGATTTGGCTGCCCTAACAACCGTGGAGAGCACCTTCCAAGTCCCCTGCTTGGTGACAGCATGTTGAACTTTGGGCTGCGAATGCAGAAAGACTCCCTTGCTGGTGTCTGGGACCTTGTCTCCAGCTGTGACGGACGTCTGTTTGCAGTTTTCCTCAGTTTCTGCCAGGGCCAAATTCAATGGCCTTTATGACTGAGCAGCCTGGGCTTAGTCCATGGCTTTTTCAGCCCAGAAGTAGGTGAACTATTTTTCCGTGGAAGTGTGTGAGTGAATGGATTCCTGCAGAAAACCAGCAGTTTTGTGCCTGCAGCATCTGGGACAGAGTGACCCAGCCTGTCTCTGGCCACAGAGATCTGGCACCTTCTAGGTGTACATTGTGTGCAACAAGGTATAACTCAGTAGGATCGAGGCCTCCAGCCTCCGTCATAAGTGGAAGGCCAGATAGGCTTGTTCTGTACGTATGATGGGCAAACCACAAACGCTAGTACTGTAGTTAGACTTATTTGCTCTAAGGAAGCCTCCTTGTGTGCGCACGCGCTCACACACGCCAAGGATACGTGGAAGAACTACTCAAAAAGTCCTCCTCTTGTTAAAATAAAGAACTGGGTGGAGTAGGGCCAATGAGCTAGGAAATGGGATGGGTACATATACGGTCCCAAAGAAATCACCTTCGCTGTTCTTTGCTGCTGTGACCGGGCTGGCTCCTGGCAGGCATTCATGCACGTTTGCTAGATAACCAAATGGAGATGGCTCACTGGGAGTCAGGGGGAGGAAAAACGATTCTAAGATAAATACTATGGCCCGATTCCTTTCTTTGTGAAGAGTCATTGCATTATCAGAGATCAACAAAGCTATCTAGAGAAGTGTCTATTCGCCAATTTCAGAATTTAGCAACTATTTTCCATTACTTCATTTGTCCATTCGGCCAGTGTTTGTTGAGTGCTTGAGTCTGTAGCAGGCACATGAGGATATAGGGGTGAAAAATACATACAAGCTCCTGAGCTCTTATGTGGGGGAGAGAGTGTTGGTTCATGAACCAGGCAAACAAGTACGCAGACGACATCATACCAGATGGCACTGCGGGTGAAGAAAGTGAAGGGGATGTTAGAAAGTGTATCTTTATCCTAATTCAAAACATTTAATGCAAATAAGCATTTTCAGTTTTCTTTTCCACGGTGGAGAAGAAGAAATCATACTGTGCATGAAGATCTATCTTCTCCTCTGCTTCATGCCAACAACCTCATTTCTTCTTTCGTGAAGCAGAGAAGGTTGCAGGATCATGTCTCACTGGTCTCGTGCTTATAATTCTTCTTACCCTCCTCGTAGCTTCGGTTAGTGTCCATAAGCATTTCCTCCACCTGAGCACGGTAACTTGGGGCTACCTTTGCCAACATGTTCATTTCCAGGTACGTAGGGAAGGAATGTCTCTCGGATCCGACAGATGGACAGTGAGACCAGAGTGGGGAGAAGGGCTGCCCTTGGCAGGACCAGAAGCCAAGCCCAGGGTCCATAGTTTTCCTATCATGCCCTCACGGACCTTTCACAGTTGCATCAGGACTTGCTTCTAGAGCCGACTCGCGGCAGAGCATCTGCTGGCGATATTTCAGTTAATCCCCCAATCTCATTTTTCCGCACTCTCCATTCCACCTTGAGGAGAAAGAACCAGGAGAAAGGAAGGCGAGTCCCTGGAACAGCCGTGGCTCATCGCTTTACCACCACCATGCACACGTGGACACGGAGGGGCATTTGGGAAATATTTATGGAGGGAAGGAAGGCATTTTGCTGTGAGGGCAAATGCAACCCAAACTTCCTACAAATCTCTATAGCCAAATGGGATGCGAAAGAACGAACACTGGTGCTGGGCACCCGGTCAGGACAACCCAGTGTGTTGGCTTTCATGTCTTTCCTCTTAGGCAAAGCCGAGGACTGCAGGGTTTTGCCTCGGCTTGAATCAGAGGCGGAGCGGTGACTACCACCAGGGCATCAACCCTGAAGCCCAACATTTTTGCCATGACAAGACCGCATTCTGCCTCTAAAATTTTCCATTATGTACTACTTTCTCTACTGGGAGTAGATGGAAGAAAAACACATTTCATAAAGATTTTCTGCATCAGGGTTTGAAAATATCAATGGATTTCTGGTTAACTTAGAAATTATCCAGAAAATCAAATTATCTGAACTGCCCATCCCCCGAATGTTCTAGTTAATCAAGGTTTGATTGTGTTTGATTTGCAAAGAGAAAACTTCTCTCCTAAGACATTTAGTCTCAAATAGATGTGCCCAGTGCCTATGTGGTCTCATAATTTATGCACTTGAGTTGCTGTTCCGTGGGCAATTTGGCAGGGATTACAGGCATAGACAAAGAAGATGTTAACAGCAAAAAAGACATCACCAGAAAGCCTTTGGAAGACAAACACTTCACATCCTCAATTATAAGACAACCTGATGCAGAAAGAGAATAAATTAATTTAAAAACCTCCAGCACAAAGAAAATAATGGAAAAGTACATCACAAGTAGTTATCCCTTTTGTGCTAAAAACAAGTGATTTGGAGAAAATAACTGCATGGGGCTGAATGTGTTAGTCTTATTATCTTTTTTCTGGTTTTAAATTCTTAGGGGAGAAACAGAGAACAAGAAAAAAGAAGCTTTCATTGTTTCAACAAACATTTATTGGATATTGAGTAGGTTGCCAGGCACCAGGCTATACTTCCTGTGACATTTTCTACTTTTAAAATTATTTTCAGTCACATGAAAGAAACTTCTAGATGTCTCATCACTGATTTCAAAAGTGGTTCCAGAAAGGCCATTTCCTCTAAGGTTTTTGCCAAAACTGTTATGGTTCCATTAGGAGTACAGCTGCGAGTATCACTTGGTGTTTTCTCTCCTGGGAACCCGGGTTTGGGGGAATGGGTCTATCCTTGCTTTGCTGGGCAACCATTTGCAAGGAGAGGGCCTTGGATTAGTAGGGTTTATAACTGTTCAGGTTGAGTTCTCCAGGAAGCAGACTATGAGGTGGAGCTCGGTATGCCAGAGGTTTATCCGGGAGTCACCACTGGCACCCTCACCCGGGCAAAGGAGGAAAACAGGGTGCAAGGAGGGAGCTGATACGGGCTACGGCAGCCTCGGCCAACACACCGCTGCTCTGGAGCTAGGATGGCTCTAGCCCAGACTCCAGACGCCTGCATCGTCAGCATTTAGTGTGGGCTGCCCAGGGCTACCTACGAAGGGAGTGACCTTGGGGGAGCCCCCTCCTTAGAGCCAAAACAATCCCCAAAGAGACAGAGGGCTGAAGCTGCTTGCTGGCAGCACCCCAGCTGCAGCCCTCCACTGAGGGGGTCTGGGTGGCACATCATGGCATCCGCT